ATAATTCCATCAGGGATTACTTCTGTCATCACAATGTGATTAGTAAAATAATATTATACTATAGTTATGAACAGAATTTCTAGGAGACAGGGTTGTTGTTTCACAGCAGCCAAACTTTGAGGGACTATAGGAACAAAAGACAGCTGTCTCTCCCTCCCCTAATATTGCAAACTGTAGGGTACAGTATATTTTTTATAGATTGGTGATGCAAAAGCATAAAACCATGATAAACCACTATTAAAGGTTATTTTTTCTCTGCCACATATTATGATGATATGACATCACATGACACAATGGGTGGAGTAGATCTGTGAGAAACTCTGTATTCTGAGCACCTCTTACATTATACTGTAACACATGTCATGCTGTGGCACAAATGCACTGCAACTGCTTTGCTCTTGTTGCGCTAGGATGCGACACTGCAAATTGTGTATGTTTCGATCCATCAATCTTTAGGGTTGAGTTGTTGTTATTCATGAGTAGCAGAAATCTGTAATGTACACAGAGGGAGATGCAGTGGTTCCTTCACTGTGACTGGTTGTCTCCTATGCAGACTGTAAATTTGTGAAGAAATTAGTAGGAGTAAAACTTCAAACAGTGATGTGCACTTTTTCTTTTGTTTACACTTTGTTCTCCCAGGAATTCTACGAAACACTAAGTCCTCTACCGTGCTGCCAGAAACAGGAGGCTTTGTCTGAGCTTTTCATGTCTTATCTAGGCCTGGGCCAAATTAAATGTCAGGCCATCATTCCTGCTCAGTTCAACAGGAAGCTGCACACAACTCATATTAGCCATAATGTGCTACAGTTAAATGTGTCCCCAGAGCTACAAAAGCCGCCTCTAAGCTGAGGTTCCCGTTACGTTGTACCCTGCAGGACATAACACATCTATTCAATAGCAGCTTAACTGTGCCTGCTGACAATAGCCTGAGAAGAATATTGGGGTGATGGAGTATTGTGACATTTTATGGTGAATGTGTTGGTACTGGGATTATCTCTGAAGCCGCCAATATACAGTGAGCCAATGGCAATTTGCAATTTTCTCAGCACAGCACCTGCCTGGACACTAATCACAAAGGGTTTGTGCCTTCTCAATACATGATCACTGGCTTCCTCAGAAAATAAATGGTTCACAATGATGTGCATTGTTATATACCGAGGCTCTAAAATTGCATTTGTGCTGGGTTTGGATTAAGGTTTTTTCTTCTTTTAGTGATTCAGATGATTCAGTCTACAAGAATGCACTTATCAAAATCACTCAAACCTTGCTTCGCTTGCTGAATGCAATTGTATTTGCTGCTTGTATTTGCCAGTTTACTAAACAGTGTGAATAATGTGTCAGAAAGCAGTTGGATAATAGGGGTTATCTTATGAGCCAATGCCACAAGGCACTGTTCCTCAGTGTCAGTAAATGCAAAACAACCACTTGGAAGGCAATACTGAATAAAGTTCAGTTTTTTGTCTACATTTATTCAGAGTCAAACAGTCAACTTTTGCAAATTTTCCTAGAAGTAAAAAAAGCACACAGCCAGTGGGTACAGACATTGCGACTTGTCGAAACCCGGTATAACTGGTAATGACCGCATTTCATATAGGTGAGCCAGTTCCAGGGCTGTGGTATTGTGTAGGCTGGCGCTGGCATGGATTCCTGGCACAGCTAAATTGAATGAAGCCATCATTAATGTTATTAGTCACACATGTAATTTTCCTGCCATGAGAAAGGTCTATCATGCCTATTTTAAAATACAATAGGGTTTAGTGCCACAAATGTAACTGGATGGTTTGTGGAACCAAAGCCAAACAACCATGTCACAAAACTATTGCCAAAGAACCATAGATTAAATTATTGATGGAGCACATGTTCACATAGGTTCATTCTGTTGTGGCAGGTCAGGGCTCCAGTTCATTGCCAGAGGTGTTTGCTGTAGAAAACAACTGCAGGACTCCACAAAGACAGTTAGATGAGTCTCTCCTCTGCCCACTGACTTGCACATTTGGCTGTCTCATTCAAAAGAAATGCCGCAGTTGGCCAGATGGTGTAATATCGTTTTTGCTGGGGTTCTGTTTGCTTAGGAGCCAAACTCTGGTGACTCATCTTCACTCAGGAGGGGAGATGCCAGACACGGAAGTGGTGTTTGTCAGTGAGAGTGAAAATAACCATATGCAGGCCGTCTCACTAGCATCTTTTATTTACCGACACCACCCTGCCTTGCCTGCAGTCTGTCTGCTGGCTAGCTGAGTGGCTGATAGACTGACTGGATTTTTGATTTGTAGGCTGTCTGAATCTTCACTTGTTTACTGTCTTTTTTAAGCTAAGCGATTTGCTTGATGCTAATGGCTGACTTACCATCAATGTCTGTCTGATTAGTCAGTTACAGAATTATGGTAAAATTATGTTATTTTACCTTATGTTATGTAAATCACAATCAACACGCAACTTGCTTTTTTGTGAGACAGCAGCAATAATAAAATGATGTAGGCAGTGTGTGGCATCTTTGTCAACCTTCTTAACCTTAATTACCACAGAACCATGAGATATCTGAGTGTGAAGTGGCATTGCAAACCAGTCTAACCTGTCCTCTACCAAATTTGTTTCAGTTTTGCACCACAAACTATGCCTTACTAATTAGGTCAATGAGGTTTCTAGAACTGTAGCGACCCCAGACCTACAGTATAGGCAGAAAGACAATCTGTGTGTTTTTTTAACTACTGTTTCATCTAGGACTAACCCACAGGCAGTCACACACAAGGAAATGTCAATTCACGGAGCATCAATGTCACAAAATCTCTTTGTCATATCAGCTTAAAGGTCCTATATTGTATAAACTGAGATTTCCACATATTTTTTGACTTCTGCAAATTTGTGATGTCACTACTATACAGTCACTGCTCTCAGCTATGTCGCCAGCACGTCCCACCTGGATCCACCATCCAGCCTTGCAGGATTTGGTTTCTCTGAGTGTTCACCCGAAATCTGCTATATTTTTAGTTTTTTCCAATTTTTATCACTCAGAAAACAGTCTGATCAATAAGATCAATCAGATAAATTCTGTGAGGCATGGTTTTTGGTTCTTAAAACCACAAAGGTATCTACTTATGGATATCAAAACTTAAAAAAAAGCAGGAAAAGTGTAAAAATATTGGACCTTTAAATAAATAACTTGTCAGTCAGTTGTTCAGGGTTTGTGTATAGCATATGATATCTGTAGTTGGTCATCTCTTTATTGGTAAAATATTAGGAATATATGTAGACATGGAGCAGAAAATAAGATTCTAGTATTAGTTTTTGTAGCATTCAAAATACTGGTTCCTGTGGTGGAGCATAATATAGGTGAAGTGTCAAATGATGCATCTGTTATCTCTCCAAGTGTATCCAGACTTACAATGACAGATATATCCATGCAGGACTGACGTTAATTTGTTACAGTTGGTGACATGGTGTTTGATGAAGGTCAGAGACCCAAACATCATACCTTCCTCTTAAAGTGAATCCTTGTGAGAGAGACTCATCTCTTTCAGATGAACTGTCTGTTAGAGACACTCATCACTTTCCTGTATTCTGATAAAGTCATTTAAATCATGATGAGTAGGGCATCTCATTTTAAAGGAGTCTACAAGGATCTCTATTTGTGAGGTGACATACTGGCAGTGACACAGGTGAGAGGTGTGACTCTCTGTGTGTGTGTGAGTGGGCATGTTGGAGACTAATTGCTGTTTGCAACTAGCATCCAGGCTTTGCTCTCATTAACATGCCACAAGTACCCACTGTATCCACAGAATTGTAGAATCAGGATGGTGGACATGTTTAAAGAATTGGTTCCACCTGATATTAAATGCCATACTCTCTTTTTAGCCAGACTAGTGTGAATGAGAGAAAATAACTTTGCAATTTGTATCCCCTACTTTATTAGATCATTCAAGCATGGTTTATCTATAATGGCACTATTTCCCACAACATAAAAGGCACAGCAGTATTGCAAATGGTGCTAAGGGGAACAAATACAAATATCGTATCGTATCGTCGTCTCCCGCTTATCCGGATCCGGGTCGCGGGGGCAGCAGCCTCAACAGAGAGGTCCAGACGGCCCTCTCCCCAGCCACTTCCATCAGTTCCTCCGGGAGAATCCCGAGGCGTTCCAAGGCCAGCTGAGAGATATAATCCCTCCAGCGTGTCCTTGGTCGACCTCGAGGTCTCCTCCCGGTGGGACATGCCCGAAACGCCTCCATGGGGAGGCGTCCAGGAGTACAAATACAAATAATGTTATTAAAAAAATGGTGTAAAGCAAAACAAACAAAAGTTCTGTAGTTAAAAAGACCATAATTTTTCGTGCAAGTTCTAAGCAGATTTATGTATTTCTTTGTAATTTACATCATTGATAATAACATGCTTGTAAAGTGTTATTCACAAGTGCCTTCATTTCCTCCATGAACTGTATGTCAGCTGGTCACCATGTTGATATTACTATACCAAACTACAAGCTAAACTACATAAACTAAACTAGCTAACTCCCTGTTGTTTTTAGAATACCACATGCACCTCTCTCTTACATCTCATGCAGTGTCTTCCTCCATGTCTCCCCTACACCTCCTCTGTCTCAGTTTTTATTTGTAACTAATGTTTTAGAAAACTGAATTTAGTTTTTGCTAAACTGAGATTCAGTTTTTTTTTATTCACTACAAGTGGCCTCAACTATACATCAGAGAGGTGAAAATTAGTATTCTTCATTTGTTAGCTTCTTGTTTCTTCTTTGTCCTACATTGTTGCTATAATAATGCTACTCCAAATCAAAGTGTAATCAATAGGATAATCTGTCACAGAGGCAAGGTGGCAGCGTATAGGTCTCTTCTATTCTAAAGTAGATTTCTTGAGCTTACTGTAGGCTTTAGAACTGGATTGACATTGATATGACCCATTTTTACTCAGCTCTATTTCTTCAACGCTGTACTTTTAAAACTGGCTTAACAGTAATGCTTCTTCTTAATGTGTCTTTGATATTAGCAATGCCAGTGCCAGAGCAGCCTGCGGAGCAAGAGAAGGGGGCCATGGTTCCCCCTGTGATGCCAGCCTCCAATGGAGACAGATCTGAGACAGAGACGACCTCTTCCATCCTTGCCTCTGTCAAAGAGCAGGTAGGCACTCTTCCATGTACATATGTCAAACCTGAATTGTGTTTACTTCGACAAGAAGCTTTTGCTTTCCTCTCTTTCTCTCGCTCTTTCTACTTCTCTCCCCTCATAGCCCTTGAACAGCTTGCTATGAGGAGGGTCAGGAGGTTGTCACTGTTATTCAGGGAAAAAAGGCGCTCTGCTGTTTTAAAGCGTTTAAAAGAAAGGAAGATTGATTGCTGCTAAGGGAATGCAAGAGTTTAATGGATGGAAATGATGGAGATTATGGGGCGAGAGCTGTAGCCAAGAAGGCATAATTGAAAAAGTCATTAAAATCAAGGCCATTACTCGATGGGGAGCATTGAAAGGTGGCTGCAGTGCTTCAAAAGGACATGGCCAAGATGCTGCCTGCTTTCAGGTTAGCATAAACAATGGGGAAAGAGGGAAGGACAAGAAGACATGTAGTGAGGGGAGAGGCAAATGCAAGTCACGGGTGAGTGAAAGAGGAGGAAGATGGGTGCAGGACAATAATAAGTGACATGTTTTCCATTGGAAGTTACTGAGATAAGATGTTGGGCTGAGGAGGGGAGGGATGAGAAAACAGAAAGGAAGGAGACAAAAAGGGATTGAGGGAGGCGAAGTAGCTCTGCGGGTTAGATTTGTGCAGGTGGCACTTCTGTACAAAAACGTTGCATTTAACATTTAACATACAGTATATTGAAATATACAATAAAACAAAAAAAAAAAAAAAAAAAACACATCAAAATACATTACAAATCCCCCTGAAAAACACCTCAGGTTCACACTACTTCCATTTGGTGATTTGTGTTAAGCCTTTGAACTTAAGTCCGTTTGTGTAATGCAGTGTTGTTTCATTTGGATTTAGCTCATCAGCCAATGCAATACACCACAGATTTATCATTTTGCCTATCTACACCGACTCTACAGCTCTCTTTCATTTAATACCACAAAATATTCCATTTACCCTTACCAAATGAAGGACAAGTGCTGATGGTAATTTAAGCTTTTTTTCCCCCTTGCAAATGGCATTCATTTGTTTTGTTTTTTTTCCATCAGAGAACCTCTCAGTGCTCTCACATTACTGAATCAGTGAAGCAAGCAGGGTTTAGTCAGATCCATGTACTGGACCAATATTTGAACCGGCAGCTCTACCGTCCTGTTGGGAGAGCAAATGTACAGGAGGAAATACATCACAGAAATGTAGCCATTGTTGAAATCGTATTTTTTTCTGCAGAGTGACAGCTCAACAAACTTCTCCCCTGAGGAAAAAATGTTTTTAAAATTTAAAATTAGTTCCTTGTTCGGTCACCAGAAGGAAACGGGAATGGCTTTGCATTTAAGTTTTCGAGTGGAAACATGAGTTTGTTACAATAAGCTTTATCAGCTCTACATAGAAGCACAGTGGAAGTGACTGTTGGAATGTATTTTTTCCCCCATCAGAAAATGTCTCAGTGCTCTCACATTACTGATTCACTGAGCATACCTGATTTAGTCAAATCCATGCAGCTTTTGCAGCTTTACTGATCCACACCATACTAATGCAACATTGATACAAGGTAGTAGGTTGGAAAAAAAACCCACACCATATACTTTACTCTATTGCTGTGGGGATTTTCATCATTTTTCTTCAACCAAACATTTTTATATACAGTTTAAAGAAATGCAGTATACAGCCTGTTCCTCTTTCTTCTCTTTGGAGACATGTATGATGCAATTGGGGCACATTAGGTACCAAGAAGAATAAATCTAAACCTTCTGCTATAGAGCTGCTCACCTCCATGTCTGATGTTGAGGAAAGAAATAAGACATGCTTGCCGACGTGTCCTTGAGCAATGTATTTGGCCAGCAGTAGAAGACAGTAGCTGTACTGGATACGTACCAAATATGAGTGGTTAAACTACTCAATAGGATTCACATGCAGAAAACCTGCTCTCTGCATGAGTAATGTTTCAGAAAGTCACAGTCATTTGAAATTGTTAGTAAACTTAACAGATTAGAAGGGAAGCTATTATTTCTCCACAAACCTATTGTATTAATGTGTCCTTATGTTAACATCTTAAATATAGAGCATTGATTTTTATTTAATTGATTTCTACTCAGTCCACGATTTGTGGCTTTTTGTGTGCACAACAGGTACATGTGTGCTTGCAAATGTAATACATGCGTGACGCAAATGTGTTAGAAAAGGTTAACTCTAAATATAGCTCTCACACTAACATTTTCTGTCCAGGTGTGTATGCCTGTGTGTGTGTCCCTGCATTTGAACATGTAATAATGATAATAATGATGTTGAAAAATTTTTACCACACCTTCACTTTTCAAAACAAAAGTCACAAAGTGCTAATTGTAAAGAAAATCAAGTAAAACAACAAGGCAGAAAAAAAAATAAAAGATAAAGTGATGTGAGTGATATAAGATCACTGACATCACTGACTTCTAGAAAATGGATTAATACGGAACACAGAGACAAATAAAATAAAGTAAAAACTCAAATAAAGTCAGGATAGGCTCTTCAATAAAAGTATGTTTTAAGAAGGGATTTAAAAGAGGTCACTGACTCGGCATGTCGTTCTCCAAGGTGTGTATGAGTGTGGGGGGTGGTGATGGTTAGGATTTTTAAAGGATGTCAAGAATTAAACACAATTAGAAACTGGACTCATAGGTTTATGAGTGTTTTAAAGCTTTGAGATTACTTCTTATTTGCTGCTGTTTTTGCCAGTTAGCGAGCCAGAAAATCCAGATTAAAGGATGGATCTTCAGTATAGTTGAGGTGGGAAAAGCATGTTGATACTTCTTAATTTCCCCTTAAATTACTCAATTTTCATGTTTTCCCTTAATCCAGCAGGTTTTCCCCCCTTCCTCTACACAAAAAATATCCATCCTGTTATTAAAATCCAAAGCTGATTCATATTCCATATGATAGACCTGAACGTTCTTGATTATCTCGGTTCACAGTTCATTCTTAATGTGCCCCCATGTGATGTTCTTCCTTCTATTTTGAGTGCCCACTGATGACTGCAAAATTTACTAGATTAGAATGAATGGAATTAATTGGATTGGATAAAATGAGTTAGTGCCTTAAGTGTATCTCATAGGACATCTGAGATTCATTCTCTTCTACACTTTCTATTGATTCGGTTTATTTGTGGAAAAACACCTGGTGGCTTGTTAACTCATGGTTCATGGGCACTGGCCCCACTGGTCATAAAGAAAGGTTTGTGCGGGTCCCAAAAGTCAGAGAGGCAACTTGCTACTGGGTGCAAATGCACTACTTTGCTAAGATTCTTGAAATTTAATCAAGATACATGACATTAAAAAGCTTACTAGTTGACCTGTTACTTTTGTTTTGGTGTGCACGGCACTCAGGGGGACAGGGGGTGCCTGTAACAACAGGTCTGGAACTTGGAATGACCAAGTCTATGTGCACTGCACTTATTATCACTGCTCACTCCCTCTGTTGCCTGGGGGTTGCTGAAGGTGCACCATGTGTCTCCTCTGAAGCGCATGATATACACAGCTACTTTTTTTCTACAGTTGTCAGTGAGGACCTTTACCAGGAAGGCACACAGACTTTCACAGCACTCCCTCAGATTTGACTTAATTAATTATTATTTGGTTTTTAAAACGTAAAATTTGTGTAATGTGTGGCTACACATTTTTCAAACTTACGCTCTATACTGCACACTGCAGGATGGAGTAGGAACATTCGCAAATATTATAGTACATTTTTATGTATTGCCCTCTGTGAGTTTCCCCTTTTAAGTTTAAAAAAGCCAGGGGTCAAATTGAATTTGTGTAAATCAGAAAGCTCAACAGGATATCTGCTTCATGCAAAATCTCCAAACTCTCAGATGAATGTCAACTGGCTATCTATTAAATTTTTCAGATTTAAAGACTTCTCTACTGCTGCAGTTGAAGCCAGTTGAGTTTCTCAATATGCTTTGCACTATGTTGCATCATGTCTCAACTTGCCTCAGGAGAGCTCCACTGAGACCAATTTAACCAGTGCTGTTTTGTTCTAGAATCTATCACTTTTCTGCATATTTTTATTTAGCTGGAGTTAATGTCCTGCTCTGTTTCTGGAATGTAGTCTGGTAATTCAACCTTGTTTGTTGCTAAATTATAATCTGTATGTTTTCTCATGTATCCCTGATTTTTACGTATGATACATTACTGATTCCAACTATAATGAGTTTAATGAAAGATGTTTGCTGTTCTACACACCATGCAGCCTGTTCATCTTTACTGAGAAAAATAATATGGTTTAAAAGACGTGATGCTTTGAGTTCTATTATTACCAATGTGGCATTTATCGTGATAAATATCAATATGACTGATATGGAAATTTTTATCATGACAATAGTTTTGGCCATATTGCCCAGCCCTAGGACAAAATTATGAAATTATGACAAATGGTCAAAGGTCAACATTGTGACATCATAATGTTCTGCAAAAAAAACTTCTAACTATTATTCAGTGTGACTGAGGAAGGGGAAATTGTGACCGTATTTCACGCAACCTAGCTGGTTGGTGGAGGAAACAACTGAGACAGTAATTACAACTTTTTTTTCTTTGGTTAGTAATTTTGTGGCGACAAGTCTTGGATGTTTCCGCAGTTCTTCAAGGGCACATAGGAAAAGAATGGGAAACAGATGAGATACGTTTTCAGGCCCTGAGTAGTAGCAATATCATAGTTGTTGTGAAATATTAAGTCATAAAAATTTACATTACATTACAGTATGTGATTTGGGGGAAGTTGAGGTAATATGATGTATGAACCAATCTACAAGGATGACTCATGGTGTATGTGCATTTGTGTGTGGCTTATACGTATGTGGACCTCTAGCAATGTAATTTAGTAATAGTGAAACTCAGTCCTCATTTATAAGCGTACATGAGAAAAACCCACTGCCTTTAACCTTCAATATTGCATAGTTTTTCTCATTTGTAATATCAAAGTCATCACCATCAGTATTTTTACTAACAGTCAGTTGTAACTGTGG